AAAATGAGATACTGTAGCTTTTCTCCCTCTTCTGAGGTGAAGAACATGATGTGACAGATTTCAAAACTGGTAACCAAAAAGATTTTGGACATTTCACTTGGTAGGCACTTGTCTGTGTGCATCCGTCTCCTACCCAGTACTCTCATTCTTCAAGATGCAAAGCCCTTCGTCCCATGATTTCAGAGTCTCTCACCTCTTGATTTACACATGTTATATGAAGGAGTTGGACAATAAACCCATTTTTCACTAATGATCTCAAAGGAGTCTGTGGTAGTTCCCAACATCACCACCCCAGAAGGAAACACAGAGGCAGCCCTGGAGATGAAAACCTTGACATTCTTGTATCTTTGTTAGTCTAAGTTTCCATAGCAGAATGCTATGGACTAGGTGGCTTCAACAGCAAGCATTTGTTTTTCACATATATGAAGGCCGAAAGTCTGGCATATCCCTCATCTGTGAACACTTCATGCTTTGCAGCCAACCATCTTTTTCAGGTATTTCCATGAGGCAAATTGCAGAGAGCAGGCTCTACATCTGTTCTTCCAAAGGACATTAATCACATGATGAAGGCTCTACCTTTTGGGCTTGATTACCTCCCAGTGGCTCAGCCTCCTCCCATGTCACATGGTGGCTTAAGACTGCAAGATGATGAGTTGGGCAGAGTGTGTCTGCATGGGGTTTGGGGTCATTCAATCTGTAACACTAAGTAGCTGAAACTTAAGCAGGGTGAGTGGCATGACTTAGCCTCCAGTCCCCTCTGGTAGCCTTACAAGGAAATTAAATGTCCTGGAACTGGGAATAATGTAGGATACTATGATTTCGTAACATAATCACAGTGTCTTTGAAAAAAACATGGAAAGAATGAGCCCCCTACATCCAAGTGCCAAGCTCCATACTACAGATCTCAATACTTGCACAACCAGGTTAGATAAGTGTGGACATCAAGCAGATGGAGACATTGCTCACTACTAAGCAATGAGGAAGGAAGAACCAGTTGGGTGCTTTGGAAAAAGTCTGAGGACAGGACTTAAAGAACATTATTTAATGGAGAGGGTTGCAGAAGTAAAAGGCCCTTGGAGAGATGGCTATACAGGACCATTTTCTCTGCAAGGGAAAATAAACTGCAAAGAAGGTGGGTACATGAGGTTGTAAGGGGCACAGGAATCCTTCCTAAAGGAAAGTGGACCTCCTAGGGCATCAACACTCTTCCAGCATCTGCTCACTGTGGCCAGGAGCCTGCTCCCGGGTCCAAGGACCCAATGTAAACTGTACCACTTCTCTAGCTCCCCCACAGCAGTCTCCCTCCCTATGTTATTGGTGGTTTTCAGGACAGGCCTGTCACGTTGCCTGGGTACCACCCAAAATACCCAAACTCCCTCTTCCTCATCCAAGTTAGATCTGTCTACCCTTACCCCTGAGGTTATTAAACTGGCAAGGAAATATATGAAACCAGCATTCTTGAACAGTTCCTCACTCTGGGCAAGGAAAAGGAGGACTATTTCCATGGTTGAAGTGTTCCAACCAATTCAGAGAAAAATACCACATGAAGTAAAAATATTATCATGCTGGCCAAGCAAGGGTTTTCCTTTATAGCCATGCTGACACGCAAGGTTTTTACAGCTCTGCTTCTTCCCTGGGGTCAGTGGTATTGCCTGCTCTTTCGAGTTGGGGGATATTGATTCAGCAGAGGTAGGGGAGCGATTGCATTTGGGGGAGGTGGTAGAAAGGAGAGAGTCCCTGGGAGAATTTAAACTCTGTAGTGAGAAGGTAGAGTAACATACCCAGTACAGGACGGGGACAAAAGGGAGCCTCATTACAGTAAAATTCACCGAATATAGATTTGAGAAGACACTTTCTAATGGCATGTTCTTTGAGAGAAAGAAGACATATAAGAAAGTACAGGGGGCCAGGGAGATGGCTCAGTGGAATAAGCGCTTCCCTGGCAAGTGCAAGGGCCTGAGTTCAATCCCTGGTTCCACCAAAAAAAAAAAAGCACACATAGTGGGCTACCTCATGTAAAATTCAAGAACAAGCAGAGCTGATCTTCACCATGAAAGTGTGTATTGCAGAGTCCTGTATGTTGGAGGATTAGGCAGATTTGAGTGGGAAGAAACACAAGGGGAAATTCTAAAGGAATGAAAATATTCTATAAAGTCTAGACTTGAGGAAAGATTACCTAGCTATTACATGTAAAAATTCCTCAAGCTGCATAATAATATTGCTATAATTTAAATATATAATTTATTGCTCAGTTCCAACATTTTTAGATAATTTTTTGCCACATTTATAGATGTAGCATCAGGACCAAGGGTATCTGGTGTGTTCAGTGGGAGATACTGATAATAAACAGCGAGCTACAGAACAGAGCAGGAAAAGGCCTGCTCTTCCATAGCGAGGGCATAGCTGCCTATGGCTGGACACTGGAGCTTTGAACAAGATTTATATTCCTTTCAGGTCCCATTTCCTTTGTTAAACTAGAGACAACAGTATGGTAGGTATTTGTTGTTTGCGAGGGTTAAATAAATAACATGCATAGATATAATCCCAAATATCTGAAAGATAGTTTAAAATGCTATTTATGACAGATAATAGATATGTTTTCACATAAACCATAATCCTAAATGATCTAAGCCATAAATCATATTTCTATCCTAAAATATTTTTGAAAATAAAAGTATGGCCCATCAACTGCGGAACAGATAAAAATGATGTGGCATTTTTATATAATGAAGTATTACTCAGCTATAAAACCAATAAACTCCAGGCTTTCATAGGTAAATGGATGCAACTAGAGAGCATACTCATAAGTGAAATAAATCAGACCCACATGTGTGTGTATCATACTGTCTCCCTACTGTAAGGATCTGAAAGAGCAAATAAAATCCGAGTGGTACAATGTACAATAGATACCATGACAGGGAAAGAAACTGTTCAAAGCAAATTCCAAAACAACTGGGATAAGGAAAAGGAGAAAAGAGCTAAGAAAAGGAAAAAATATATATGTATATACACAGGATAGCTTGGATAATTGTACTGCTGATTCTGTTGGTCTATTGAAAGGAGCAATTAATAATTTTTTCTCCTTTTAAGTTCTTTGTAACTTTTGGGGACCAATTTTGCATGCTTATGTCTGTTAATTTGAACAACTAATTTGAAGATAACAAGATCCAATAGAACAACCATTGTTGAATTCCTATTATTTTATGTGGTGAAATTCTGTATCACTTTCAATGTTTTTTTTAACTGTTTATTATTTTTAAAAATTAAAAATAATAAAACATTCTGCTTGTTTCCAATTAGATATTATGAAGATAAGTTAAACTATTAAAATATTGTTATAATTGCTTGAAGTAAAATCATTCTGGGATGTGAGATCTTAGCAAAAGAGCCTCACATTTCTGAGTGCATTCACCAGGATCCAGTCTGTGTCACAGCACTCCCTGCAGTCAGCCTGATGCTGTTCAAGTCCACAGATCTTTACTTATGCCTAATAAAAGTGAGACATTGTTTAATATCTGAGGATATAAAACAAGAATAAGTCACAGTCTGTCTTCTGGAAACTTCCAATCTACTGGGAAAGGTGGATATGGACACATTTATGTGACAATGTGGTGAGTGTAGTCTAAGATTAGAGCACTGGACAGACACATGACAGCCATTTGTACAGCTGTCAAATGTTATAAGTACCGTGCGCAATTGCACCACCAGAGTGCCACAGCTGTCAAATGGGCACATTGAAATTTAACAAGGGCATCATGATACTAGACATGCCGGTGGAAATCCACCATGTGATTGAGACAGCCAATGGCCAATGGTTATACTTTAGAGTCACAGTTTTTTTGTAGCTAGGAGTGTTCTGAGTCAAAAATAGATATGTTAAAACCGCAAAACTGGAAGTCCCCTACAGACTGCAGTAAGTCAGAAGGGGGAATGGATGGAATTTGCGGTAACAAAATGCCTAATTGTTTTACCTCCTACTCACCTCCAGCTCGCTTTTCTGGTTGGAGGTCATGTCTGTGCTTGGGAGGGGCAATTCTTCCTGGACAATAATAGGGCATAATCTTCTCTGTGAATCTGATGTAAGGTATGAAGGTATGCAAGGTATCTGGTGTAAGGTATTTTTTCCAGGGAAAAATGGATTTACAAACAAAACAGTTGTAGCAATTTTGAAGAGGTTAGTTCCCATTTCAAGGTTAGGTTGAGTCTGTTTTAAACAATCCTCATGCTATTACACTTTCTCTTCTCTTCAAAACAACAAGAAATATTAACAACTTTATTAATTGTATCACCATATCAACACTGATGATCTTTGAATCACACTGATTGGCCCCCTGAGTGTGTGTGTGAGTTTCTGTATTCCACAATGCCAGCATTTGCAGTGTTCTTAGTTGTGAAATTTCTGCAATATATGAACCTCAGAGAAAACCTAGCTCTAAGAAATTTAGATGCTTCACTATTTATCAAACTCCCTGAGAGTAATACATCAAATAATTAAGCATACAGTACCTACCACCACTGCCAAGAAATGAGCATTACCACCTTTGTATTTTTACTTTGAGATGATGATGATGATCATTATTATTATTATTATTATTTTTAATGTATTTGGAACAGGGCCTGCAGGATCTACCGGGTCTCACTACATAGATGAGACTCATAGTGATTCTCCTGTTTTCAGCCTCCAAAGCACTGGGCTTACCGATGCGCACCACAACTCCCAGTCTCAATTGCCATCTCAGCTTGCCTTGGGGGTGGGGCCAGCATGGCACATACCCAGGATTGAACCCCAGCTGCTGTGCTCTGCCTACGCAGGCACTTTAGTCTGCTGAGCTATCTGGCCAGCCCTACTTTGAGATTAAACTGGGGTGCTCATGCAACCACCTAACAAGAACCATTTGTTCCTCCCATTTGCTAATAGTTGTTGTGTATTGCTGAAGAGCTAGTCTTCTTCCATGACCTTCTTGAAGTCTAATGTGAAATTTTGCTTTATGTTTCATCAGTAAGTTCCTGAAGATACAGTGCCTAGAAGATGGAACATGGGAGCAAGGCAACTGTATGCCAGTACAGTGTGAACCTCCTCCTCCTGTGTTTGAAGGAATGTATGAGTGTACCAATGGCTTCAATCTGGACAGCCGGTGTGTGCTTAACTGTAACCAGGAAAGTGAAAAGGTAAGAAAGACTCTTTGATCCTTGTTTGGGATTAGGCTGTATTCTGCTCTTGATTGTCATGTCAAGAATCTTGAGTCAAAATTATTGAAAGAACCCCACCAGGAAGGGCCTTACTAAGTTAGTATTCTAGGTAGATACCTGGCTACATGACAAATAATTCTGGAATCCTGATGGTGTGTGTGTGTGTGTGTGTGTGTGTGTGTGTGTGTGTGTGTGTGTGTAAAAACACAAATTCCTCAGCAAAGCTCAAAGTGCTGGTTGACTGTTATTTTCCCTAGCATTTTAGGGTAGGAGGTCTCCAGTGAAAAGTGTAGTCTTAAGTGGCTGGGTGACTAAAATAAATTTTGTTTCGGAATCTTTTCATGCACCACGTATACATGACACAGGAAGTCAAAAAGACTTCCTAGCCAACAGTCAATGACCTTGACTTCTCTTTTGCCACGTGTCTTTCTGTTAGTGCCCAGCATTCAAAGCTAAGCACTGCAAAGCAGATATGAAAAGATTATGTCATGAGGCCCTGAGAAAGTCAAACATTTATGCTTCCAATGATTGATTTAAAAAGTCAGGGACTTGCCCAGATGAAGAGAGAAGTATCTGTATTTCTAAAATGTCCTTTTCTTAGAATTTGTCAGGTCTAGTTTGTATTCTAAGTAGATTATACTTTGTGATTATTATAGGAATAAAGATAAATGTTACACGATCAGCACCCATGTGGAGAAAGGGATAGAACAAAAGCAACTATTATATGTTAATTCTATTACAAAGTCAAAAATATACCTTTGAGGAAAATGCAAAATGGATTCCACAGAATAATCTTGAAGAAAACTCAAATATTTTCACCAAGCATTGTCTTTATGATAGTATGCATGAGTCAATGTAAAACAATACCATCTGGGGAAATTTTCCAAAAATAACTCAGATGACATGGGTTATGATCAATAGCTCTTCATATCTAAAAGGAAGAACATTGTTGATAAATTTCATCAATAGCAAAATTATTCATGAAATACTTTTACATGGAAATAGGATGGAAATGTCTTAGTTTGCCTCTTTTAGTTTTAGTTTTTGTTATTTGCAACACAACTAATTAATTGTAATAGACCTCAAATTCTAGAGTTGAAGTATGTCACCACTTAATTTTATACCACTTTTTCTTCATTTTTATGAAATTAGCAAAACAATAATGGGATCTTCTTTACTCTTGATATTCTAGCTTCCCATTGTCTGCACTAAAGAAGGACAGTGGACTCCAGAATTCCGATTGTGTGAGAACCTTCAAGGAGAATGCTCCCCGCCACCCTCAGAACTGAATCTCCTGGAGTACAAGTGTGAACAGGGATATGGGATTGGTAAGGAAAGAAAGGGATGTCAGTGTCTGTTCCCGAGCCATCATTTCATTGGTCCTGGGGGGATCTCGAATCTATTGCACTATTTTCTTTGGAAAGTAAATGGAAAAGCAAATTAATTCTTAGCCTCTTCAATAAAAATAAAATTCATAATAATTTCTTTCTTTCTTTCTTTCATTCGTTGGTTCATTCATTCTTTTTTTTCTTTCTTTCTTACACAGTGTCATACTTAGTTCAGGCTAGCTTTGAACACATTATATGCTGAAACACTCATCATTTGAATATTAGATATTTTAAATATGTGTGACCTTAAACACTTATGTTGGCCTTGAACTTGAGGAGATCCTTCTGCCACAGCCCCCTAAGTTCTGGCATGTGCCACCATGCCCAGATTGCTCTTTATTTTTGTGGTCAGCTCATCACACCCTGGGGGCAGGACTGACATGACATGTAGTGCCAGGTATTGAACCACAGTCCCTGTGCCTTGGCTAAGCTTGCCTAAACAGGCACTCTAGACCCTGGAGCTATTTCACTGGCCCCTCAAATTTGTTCTTTTCAGTCTTCACTCATGTACAAAGTTGGTTTGGCTGCTTGAGCTATCTGCTAATGTTTTAGCCAATCTGCAGCAGGTCTGAGAATGGATGGATATAGAGCTGTATTCTTAGTTCCAAAAGGAAAGGAGAGTATACACAGCCCCCATAACTTATGTGGAGTATCCCCCACTCTCCAGAGTTCCTAAGAGGGATGATTTGAGATTGCCCTTACTTGTACTCTCTCCAGAGGACTAGGCTCCAGGCCCAAAGAGAAACTTCTAACTAAGGTAACTACAATGGAAGGTCTTTGTAGCCAGAATTGATCTACAGTGATGTTGACATTTCCCTGGCTGCTTCAAAACATAGAACAAAGTTGTGTTTAGTGTATCCTGTGAGATTGCTCCTGAATTCTAAGTTGCATGGACAAGGAGTAATTTATATAGCCTGTTAATCTATATAATACTATTGAGCATAAGTCCAGTTTATTAATATGCCCATTCACTTCTCTAAGGGTCCTTTACCATCTTCAGGGTATCCTTGCACTGGGCAGTCTTGCAGTCAGGCCTGGAGGAACAGGGAGCTTGACGTGTCTTTTGAGTGGTATTTCATAAATCGATTCCTATCCTCAAAGCCTCTGATTTCTACATTAAAATATCCTAGACTCAAGTACTTAGAGTCCTAAAGGCTGATGTAATATTTTAGTATTATAAAAGTTACTGAAAAACAATGGAACATAATGAGAGCTGAAAGGAAACTTGGAGATCATTAGATCTACAGATAAAGAAACAAAGGACCCTGAAAATACGTTTGCCTTGTGTAGAACTTTAAAAGATGCTTGGATCTCCTGTCAAGAAAACAGCAGGATTTGCCTTCTAGGGACCAACAAATGGTCCAAATCTCTGCTTCTGATTTTTGGTTGTTTCCTCCTTTAATCACACAGGTTTCCTGGCTGCCCATGTAATGATAGTTAGTGTAGCAACTGACAGAATATCCCTGGAGTAATTTCATAATTTCTGGGCTATTTTTCTTCAGCTAGTCAAATTTTTAGGTAGGAGTTGCTGCAGTTATAAGCTTCCAGGAGACCACACAAGCAGGGATGACATTAGATGTACTTAAAATCCATCAGCCAATAAGGATAGAGCTTGGCCAGTTAGCAAACTGGAAGAGAGTCTAGGAAGTCTGTTGGGCCAAAAATCAATCTCTGAATTATTGGTTCACCCAGAGACTTAAAAATCCCAGAGAAAAAGAATACAAGACCAGGCAGAGGAGGAGACACTTGGGGCCATGGGAACTAGCTTGTGAGAGAGGCTCTTTACCAACTAGTGTAGAAATCCCTTTAAGAGTGCACATTATATTTGTCTCAGGCCCCTCTCCAACTATCTTAATGTGATGAACCACAATGTAAAGAGCAATTGCTCTTGAAATACCAAACCTTTTGATTGTAAGATGAAAAAGATTGCAAACTGAGAAGCTCAATTTCTGCTTTGAATTTGTGTTTATTCAGGTGCCATGTGTTCTCCATCATGCATAATCCCCCCGAATGATCCCGTCCTGTTGCCAGAGAACGTCACTGCTGACAAACTGGAGTACTGGATGGAACCTGTCAAAGTCCAGGTGAGGGAAGGGACATTTTTTTATCCACCCAAGATGTAAGGTTGGTAAGCAACTGACAGAGCATTCTCTAGAGTAATTTCAGAGGCTTTAAAAGCAACCACATGGATCATCCCTAAATACCGGATGAAATATCAAGTAGTGAAAGAAGGAAATTGGGAAAAATTAAATGATCCACATCTAAATGAAACTTTAGAAGATAAAACATTGAGGCCGGTGAGATAGCTCAGCAGTCTAAAACTCCTGCTTAGGCAAGCTTCGGCAAGGGTGCAGGGATGCAGTTCAATCCCTGGCACCACATGCCACATCAGCCCTGCCCCCAGTGTGGGATGAGCTGGCCACCAAAATAAAATAAAATAATAAAATAAAATAAAATAAAGCACAAAACAGAAAGAAGGCTCATCAACGTGAAGACCAGGAAGAAAAATGACGACTGATGGAAAATAGGACAAGTTAACTTAGGAGAAGTCAAATACATGTATGAATATGTAGAAAGAGGGAGAAAGAAAAAAAGAAGAGACAGATGAATAAAAAAGACAAATAAAACTGAAAATAGAGAAAGAAGCAATGAGAGGACAACTGAGTTTCCTGTCCCCATATCCCACTCTAAAGCCATCATCCTTTCCTGGGCCATGTTTGACTATTTGGCTATCAAAGTCAAAGTCATCTCCAAAGTTTGCTATGTCTCCAGCTGCTTCTCTACATTTTCCACTTGGGCCTGAAACCCGACTCTCCTGTGCAGACTCCTCCTCTCCCTGAGCACCTCTCCTGTTTTCTCTCTTACATCTCTCCACCACAGCTAGATTTGTCAGAGGGGCCTGTGTCAGAGGGATCTGATTAGGTTGATCTGGTTTGGCCTTATTTTCAAAGAAGCAGAGTATTTCATCTTTCTTGACACTTTTTTGTCCTCTGGCCTCATTGCTACTTCTAAACCATTTTTCTACCTCCTCCCTAGAATCAACCATGTGGAACCATGTGGGAATCTGATGCTAATAGAACACCACGCACCGTCCACATGGCTGCTGTCATCTACTGACTTTTAGGTCACCCCTGCTTCGCAAACACTATCTCCTGGGACACAGTCCCTTCAGCTAGCACTCCCATGGGAAATCTCATTGGTCTGCATCTCCCTATATTTGATTATCCTGGCTCCTCAGTTCTGTGGCTCCCTTGGCTCCAGGAACCACATTTACCTTTCTGGCCCACCCACTTTCTCCCACACACTTTCTGTGGCTTTCTCTAATCTTGCCACGGTGACCTCTTGATTGTTTCTTGAGTACATCAGGCACACTACCATATCAGAACTCTTGTCTTTGTGGCTGGCTTTGCCTAGAATGCTCTTCCAAATATCTCCATGGTTTGCTCTTTCATTTCTTCCATATTTTGTCTTAAATGTCAGGAAGACTCTCTTTGGTCTATAATTTGATTCCTGTAACATTTTTGAGTCCCTTCTCTCTTTAGGACTTACCACTGCTATATGTATTCATCTAGTTTACTTATTTGTCTTATTTATGGTCTGTTCTTGCCAGAAGAATAAAAGCTTAGTGAGGGATCCTCTGTTTTGTTTACTGTTTTATCCTCAGGTCCTAAAACTGGTGCCTGATAAATGGTAAGTGCTCAATAAATATTTGTGAAATGGATATATGAAAAACAGAAAAATAAAATGCTATGTAAGAGCTAGGTGGTGGGGCTGGGGAGATGGCTCTGTAGAATAAGTGCTTGCCTGGCAAGTGCAAGGGCCTGAGTTGAATCCCTGGTTCCACCAAAACAAAATAAAAAAAAAATAAATGGGTGGAGAAGCTTTTGTTGTAAATGAGCTATATCTTGTTAGCATGGTGAAATATGGAAATATCAGAAAGGCTGAGAGTTTGGTTGCTTTATTAGATTGTTTAACAAAATCTTTACAAAGCTGTTCCTATGGAATGACCAAAATAGGAAATCTAGCAATATACTTTTCATTCAGAAATAATTCTCAATTCCAAGCAGAGGGATCAAAGACAAGGTACTTTAAGTGTGATTTGGATGATGCAAAATACAAGGTATGATCCAGCACATGGTCAATAGCAAATATTCTTTAAATGAGTAACCACTGAGTAAGAGAATAATGAGGTGTAATCTTTTGTGTGAGACACTGGGCACCCCAATAACAACAATCAGGTAAGGCTGGTTCTGGTTAGGTCAGTCCAGGTAGGCCTTCTTTTCTTTTCTTTCTTTTTTTATATATTTGGCACACGGTCTCACTACACAGGTCAGACTCATAGTGACCCTCTTGTTTTCAGCCTACACAGCACTGGGATTGCAGACGTGCATCACTACACCAAGTATCACTCAGTGGCTCGCTGAAAGTGCCCAGGGGTGGGGCCAGCATGGCCTGTGGTGCTGAGGATCAAACCCAGTCCCCATACTTGCCTAAGCAGGCACTTAGGCCACTGAACTATCTCACTGGCCCTAGGCAAGATAGTTCTTTTTCAAGGAAATATAATATTCCGTTTTTCTTGTCACTTTCTGAACCACTTCCTGGAGCCTTCCTTTGTGACTTTAGTTGCACAGTTATGGTTACCTCTATTTTCTGAAACAATTCAAAACATTAGCTCTCCTGATCCTTTTGACTTTGGAGATGAGCTGGAAGTCACATAGTACCAGATCTGGTGAATAAGGTAGGAGAAGAAACTGTAATATTCTTTATAAGCTGGTGGTTCCATTGAATGTGCTCAGCAGCAAGGTTCACTGTATATTTGGTCACATCTCAGACAGATAATCATGAAAAAGGATGTCTAGAACTGCTTCAGAAAGTGTCAAGAATTCATATGTTCAAAGGTAGGGAGAGTATATTGAGGGGGATTAACAGCAATGTGTCTTTTACTATGAGAACATTTCAATTTTTATTTAAACAGTCACTGTAAATTTTGATCACACCTAATAGCATAGCTCTGCCGATCGAACCCTTTATTCTTCAGGAAATATTCACTCAGACATTTATACCAACACAATTCAGGGAATGGTTTGGTTAAGGAAGAGTCACTGTGGAAATACCTGAGGAGACTCTGGCTTGGGAGTCTGGTGAAGTTGAGGAAGGGGCAGCTGAAAGAAAGCATTCCTCTGTGTCTGAAACTATGATCCAGAGAAGAAAGATAGGAGAGATAGGATGAGACACACCAAAGGCCAGAGGGCCATATTCCTTCTAGGTCACAGAGCCCAGTGAGAACGCAGTGGAGGTGCAGTGCAGTGCATGTCTGGGAGGAGGGTGGGAACTGAGCTGGTGTGAGGAGGGCACCAGTGAAGGTTGTCTTGGTTCTCTTCTAAACATTTGATAGAGCAACACAAAAACCACAGCACCATTTTCTACTTTAGAAATGAATGTGTATTTTCTCCTAAAGGTGAATGTATTTGCCAAGATTTTACTTCTACATATAATCACATCTTTGTCAAGGTCATGTTGCCCACCATACAAAGAAAATGTGGAATAGTTGTTTCTCCTTAAGCTAGTACATTGTACATTATCATTTGTATGATGGTATTTACCATGACTGTGCCTTCCAATCAGTAATTCTTGGTTTGGACACAGACTGTCCAAACATGATTTTGAGGATGGTAACACTGAAGAATCCTATTTGTTGACCTTGGAATTGATCATAGTGCACTAAACTAAAGTCAAAATGAATCTAAAATGTTAAGCAGAGACATTAAATTTACTGGAAGAGAAAATAGTTAGAAACCTTGTAGACACAGGTATAGGCAGAGACTTCATGGGCACAACTCAAACTGCAAGAAAAATATTAGAAAGGATCAACAAATATGATCTCACCTTATTAAAAAGCTTTCCCACAACAAAAGAAATCACTAACAGAGTGAAAAGATAACCCACAGGATGGGAAAAAAGGTGTAACTGTTAGTCCCCCAGGAAAACGACTTCTATCTAGAACACATGAAGAATTTTACAAAATCAGACCACCCAAATTCAAAGACCTAATCCAAAAACAGGCATCGGATCTGAATATGCACCTCTCAGAAGAAGGAATACCATTGCCAAATAAATATATGAAAAAACATTCAACATCATTGATCATTTGGGAGGTGCAAATTAAAACAACACTGAGATTTCATCTCCTCCCAGGAAGAATGGCTATCATCAAGAAATCAGCCAATAATGAATGTGGCAGGATCATGGGGAAAGAGGAACCCTTCTTCTTTGTTGGTGGGAGTGTAGACTGGTGCAGTCACTATGGAAATCAGTATACAGATTTCTTTAAAAACTAAGATTAGTGGTCCAATTTGACCCATCTTTTCCTTTTTTGGTTCTCTCTCCAGAAGAATTAAAGATATTGTATCAGAATGATATATTTGCACTTATGTACACAGCCACACAATTTGTCATAGCTAAATCTTGGAAACAACACAAATGCCCATCAACCAAAAATGAATTAAACATTTGTCATTTTATACAGTGGAGTAATATTCATCCATAAAGAAAAATAAACCTGAGACTTTCTAATTTAGTGCATTGTGATCAGCATGGCTCTAGTTTTAGTCTTTGACATGTAGTTAAGTGAAAGCAACTGGACATACTCGTAGGTGAAATAAATCAGATGTGTAAACATCGTACTGTCTCACTTAGTGTGAGAAACTGAATGAGTAAATAAGGTTCAGAATTTACAATAGATGTTGTAAAAGGAGAAACAATTGTTCAAATGAAAAGAAAAACTTGGATGGAGTAAAGGGGAAAGCAAAGAAGGGAAAAGTATATATTTATACACAAGATAGGTCTACAAGTAGTTTCTCTCAGTTCATTGAAAAGAAAGTTTTGTGCTAATATTGTTTGGACAAGATATAATGCCTATATCTTGTACTCTGAATAACTTCTATGAAGACAAAAATATATAATGTACTAATATTTGTACCTGTCCTATTAATCTGTTTTGAAGCTCTGTTTTATTTTTACGGTTTATCTTTTAAAAAATGAAACAAAGAATCTATTTTTTAACTTTTATATTTTATATTGCTTTCATTTTAAAAAGAATAGAAAAATAAAAACAATACAGAATTTCAAAACAATGTGATAGGAAATTCACAATGGTTATTATATTGCATGTTGTTGTCTTCAAAGTCTTTGTTCAAGTATATAAATCCAGTGATTATTCCTTGACTGGGTCACGAAAATTTCTGAAAAATAATAAGTAGGAAATTTTAAAGTACAATCTAAGGTACAGGTTGAGAAAGAGGCATGATTACCTTACAGATTTTGCCTCCTGCCCCAAGCCCCCAAATTCATTTATCGAAGGCCTTAAACCCAAACTGCAAAATGTTACTGTATTTGAAGACAAAAATTTTAGAGACAATTAAATGAAGTTACTGGAATGAGCCTTCATTTCATCAGGCAGATATACTTACCAGAAGGGAAAAATTTGACACAGAATGAAGGGGAAACACGTGCAGAGAAAAGAGTGGGAAAAGTGATGGCAAGATGACTCTTTGGAAACTCAAGAGAGAGGCCCTAGAAGAGAAAGGCTGCTAACACCTTCTCCTCGCCCTTTAGCTGCACACACCACAAAGAAATAAATTTATATTGTTTAATCCACTCAAAAAAAAAAAAACCCAAAAACACAAATGAAGTATTTGTTCAGATTACCAAGTATAGGTGAGATCGATCAAACAGTATAAACACTGTTACTTTCAATGAACTAATATAAATTAGTAATATAATTATCATATATAATATAATATATATATATACAATATATATATGATATATATATTCTTTTCTCCTTTCCCACGTCCCAGTTATTCTTTCCCTTTTGATCAGACTTGCTTGCATAAACACTGTATTGTCTCCTTAGTTAAGAAACTGAAAGAGGAAAAATGTCTATTCTAGCCTTTGGATCACATTTACTCTTTCAAGTTGAAAATGGAACAATCTTATGTGTTCCTTAACCTCTAAAGCCATATCTTTTATACCCAAATAAAATCAAACACTAATCCAGCATTTACTATTAATTGTCATGGCGGCTGTGGGCCAGTTGTTCCCATTGCTGTCTCAGCAACTCCACAGACAGCACAGAGAACTGTCCACAGCTGCAAGTGTCACACGGCAGCCTGGAAACTGAAACTCTATGGTATAAAAATGAGCAAAAATGTCAACAAAAGATGTGGACGTGATGGTGTAGTGATGGCCTACGTGCGCTTCAGGTCCTCTCAAACGACGCTCTGCACCCACTGCAGATGACCTTGTGGAGTCTGTTCTTCGCAGGCTTGTAAAGCCTACCTTTTCCTCCCAAGTAAGAGAAAAATTTCCTCAGAAACCAAAGCAGTTGTACCAAATGAAACTCCACAAGCTGTAACGTCTTTGTGACTCAAGTTGACTTATCGTGGGGTTGATCTGTATGGAACTCAATCTTAAACTTAGAGTCTTTAAGAAACACTTGTGGGAGATGGCTCAGTAGAATAAGCACTTGCCTGGCAAACACAAGTTCCTGAATTCAATCCCCAGTTATGAAAAAAAAAAAAAAAAAACTTGAGCAAGATATAAAAAGGGACAGTACAAGTTCCACCCTTCAGGCAGGGTGAGGATTCCTTACTGTGTGCAAATTTAAAAAGTATTGCAGGTAATTCCACCGCAAAGCCTTAAGAAATACTATTACTAAGAATAGCACTCTAAATTCAAACACACGTTTGCAGCGTAGTTCATTTGTTTGGTAAATGATGTTTGTCTGTGTCATGAAAAATCCCCGCTACAAGCCATAATTCATATACCTTTGAATCTGGCAAAACTACACAGCAGTGGATTAAATTGCTCAATTTTCTCTATTCTACTTCCAATGACCTGATTCATTTAATAAAAAATGATATTTTATATTTGGATAATACTTTATTGTCTTCAAAGTCATATATATAATTTCACTCGACTCTCATCACAAACCAAAGGCATTTTTAAATTTCACATATATATTAGACATTGCTGGCTGATCTGTTCAGGATTGCATAAATGACAAGACAGGGAGAAAGAAACATAATTAACCTTTTGGACTTAAAGCTCAGTGTGCTATCTCGGAATCACCCTCTTCTCTGTAGCTGTGTTTTGTTTTCCCCAGTGTATGGCCCTGTGGGAGACTCATCCTAATCATATCCAAGCCATTGCAACTACTTAAGCTGAAGAGTCTTCGTGTATAGCTGTATCTATCAGCCTTTAAAACCCCATGATACTTCTTCATCAACATAGTCATCTCATAATTTCTTATGCCATTTAAAATTCCAAAATAAGGAATCAATTTTGTGCCCAAGAACAAATTAAATTCATTACAATATTGAGGATTTTTTTTCTAAAACTACACTTGCAGAACTCTAAATATTCTGATATTTTGCTGGAGATAAGGATGCAAAAATTTTTCCCCACAAGAGTTTTGGCTTCAACACCTTTCTGCAGGGTTACTGGTTTCCATAGGAAAGGCCAGGCAGCCTGGTCTTCCCTAGGGTATCAGGGTCTTGCTCCTAAAGAAATGAAAGGGGTGCTAACAGAGCAAGCTCAGGCTTCACTCCTTCTCTCAGAGGACAGATATCTTTGTTTTTGACATCTGGGGACTTTTGTCTTCCTCTGTAGGGCATCGTGTGCACTGGCCGACGGCAGTGGCATCCAGACCCCCTCCTGATCCAGTGCATCCAGGCCTGTGAGGTAAGTGGGTCTCCTTCCCCTTCCCCTGGGCTAGAGCGCTATGGGCTGCTTGATTGGTGTCTCTCTCTATTTGAGATTCCATACCCACATCCTTGTTTGTTTGGTTTGTTTAAAGTGTTAGTCTCCACAGTCTCCAATGTATGAAAATTGGGATTTCTCTCTTTTGTTTAGTCTCAGCAAGATTTTCAGCATTTTAGTTTAAATGTCTTCATAAAAAATAAATCAAACAGTTAATCAGAATTATTTATGGATTTGGGATTCTGTACCTGGCTTTGTTTGAGATTAGTGCTTTGCAGAACAATGGCCATATAAGCTAGGTTGGGCCTTCACAGTTTTGTTTTGGTTGCAACAGTTTCTGTGTTGAGTTGGCTGGAGATATAGCTCAGCAGCATAAGCACTGGCCTAACACGCCCAAGGTCCTGAGTTTGATCCTTGGTACTGAAAAAAAGATAAAAAAAAAAAAAAAAACTTCCTGTGTTGAGATTTCTACATGAATTCATATGTTAATGTGCAACATTATACATACACACACCCACTCCAACAAAAAATAAATAGCAAAACTTCTTTGTGCAAAGATATTTCTCTTATAAAACAAGATTAGCCAGCACTGATGGCTGCAATTATTTGGACCTGAGCAGGAGCTGCAACCCTAGAGGGTAAAGCACTATATTTATCACAGTTCTCATCCTCCCCCAAGGCCGCTCACCTGAGGGGTTTCTTTCATTTACAGTCACCTCCTGGGCTATGCTCTTACCTATGGAAGTAACCTCTCAGAAAGGCTTATGGTCCACCGTTGAGTAACCCAGATTTAATAGACCTTTAGTACTTCTAGAAATCTTGCCTTCTTCTTTGCACCATGCATTCCTGTACTACTGTGGGACTCAAGGTGCGGGAAATTCCTTAGCCTAGTTAAATGGAGCTAATGTCACCAAGAAGAACCGAGAAGGAGGCCGGGCCTTGCAGAAGGGGGATCATGTTGGGATCCTGATGCAGAGAGGAAGACTCCCCAGTGCCCCACTTACGCTTCCTTTGGTAGGATATGAGTATTCTACTCTCAGTCATAACAAGTTTTATAATCCAAACTTCCCTCTGCAAATAAATAAACCACTTAGTAGTGCTCTCCGATAGTTCTGGCTCCACCTGGAGTGCTAGAGATGGCTGGTTAACCACCATTCATTTCCAAGTTCTCTCCCTCAAATCATCCAGCCCACATGCATATTAATCTCTTTATTCTACATCTCTGTGTCTTTTGATTTAATTCTGAGAAACTGGGATCCACATGGGGCCGGAGAAGGGGAAAGTATGGCGTTTGAGAGAAAAGAGAAAACTGGGTGGGGAAATGATACCCATAAAATAGCGTTCTGAGAGTGCATCAGGGAAAATGCTAGCATGGAGTGTGCTTTGTTATTGTGTGGGCCAACAAACCAGCTCATCTTCTGCCTTCATTAGAAAAACAGATGGCAGTAGGGTGGGGAGGCGGGAGAGATGGGGAGTGAATCATCCACTGGGCAGGGAGTAGAAAGGGGGGAGAAGAGGCCAAGGAAGGAGGGAGATAAACAGACAGAGGACTTGGGGATCTGGGAAGAGATCAAAGGGATCCTGAGAATTCCCTTCTGCTGCTTTGCAAGCTGGAGGGCGGATGACAGGGCTTGGAGCTGGCTTCCGTGTTTCCCAGAAGGTTGGGATGCAGAGCTCTCCCTGCTTATTCTCCCCTCCTCCCTGCACCCCAGCATGTCCTCTGGATCTCATATTCAGAGTAGCCCAGGCTGCTACAGTCCCTTTGTCTATGTGAGCAGGAACAAAGCTTCCTTGCCTTCACTGTTTCTCTACGGCTATCTTGCACAGCTGAACCCTGGCTTCCTGACAGCTTTTACTTCACCCATTCTGACAGTTCTTGAAGTGTAGTACATGTACCAGCACCTTCGGCATTTCCTGAGAACTTAGCAGAAATGCACCTTCCCAGGTCATTCCCAGATTGCTGGATCAGAAACCCTGGGTATTTGGCCCAGCACTCAGTATTTTCCGAAGTGAACCTTCTGGGGTCACTAAAGTTTGAGAGCCACTACCTACCCACGGTGGAAGGTTTGTTTTGCAGGTTTGTTTAGGATTAATTCTAACTCTCTTTACATTCTGATTATTGTACGGACTTTTGGAGGGCAAAACTTGAAAAAGTAGTTATTGGCTTCTGTTCTCTGGGCAAAGGCCAGAAAGAAGAAAGTTCCCTTAGAGAGCAGGAGGTAGACACAAAGAAAAAGGACAATCAGTGCCCATAGGAAAGGGAGAGGACTGGCAAGGGAGAACTAGTGTCCTAGGAGTACACAGCAGGGAACACCGAAGAGGAGGGCGAGATGAGAAGGAAAGGAAGAGCGGCTGAGGTTGGCGTGTTCTAGGGGTGTCTTAGCTAATGCTGAATTCTTTACTGGAAAAAGTCAGCTAAACATATTAGGGAGAACCGAACAATGTCAAAGACAGACAGAGGGAAAACAGATCCAGGGGCAAGATAAAGCATAGCCTGCCCGCTAGGTGAGAGGAAGTTTGAAAAAGCCCAGCGCAGCCATCTGAGCTCCAATGGGACTCTTTCCTTCCCAGCATCGAGCAGAGGTTCCTTTTGTGCTTTCTAGCAGTGGATACAATTCAGCGCCGCCCCTGGAGCCGCTCAGCCTCATGAGTTGGGCGTCTCCTCCGTTACTTCTCCCAGAGAGCTCAGGGCAGTAACCCCAGCGCCCACCATCCGGAGCCCACATTGAGCATCACGTCTTTTCTGTCCCTTGCTTGTGTCATTTCTCGTGTACCCCAGTGACTGTGCCTCCAAAGCCTCTTTCTTCTGTGCTTCTCGCGTTCTTTAGGGTGCGCACCTTGAAGGGGCCTCTAAAAACCAATCTTGTCAGCAGAACTATATTTTTTTCTATTTTTAAACTCGAGATGGAACCTAGTATTTCTAACGCTGAGCTGCATCCTCAGTTGTTTTTTAAATTTTTTTAATAATTTTTTTTCCAGGCACTGCGATCCATTTATTTTTTTATTTTTTAAGAGTCAATAATTTTATTTTTATTTATTTTTTCCATAACTTTATTGAGAAATAAATAGCTATGAGACGGTTTCAAATCCGATTAGACTGTTTCAATAATTAATACATTGCATATTGTTGTCTTAGTGGCTATTCATTGTACAAGATGCAGACATGATACCCTGTTTACAAATGCTATTAGAACAAATTTTTCTATTCATTGAATTAAGAGAATGTAGCTGTATATCTATCCTAACTATTTTTAATATACAGATACAAAATGGTCATTCATTTGTATCCCCTTTTTTGTTTAGTTTTGTCACTTAAATATTATAGGTGTGTGAATTCAGCAAAATACTCCAAAATAGTCCCGTAGTCCATAATCATAGTGAGTTTTCCATAGGACTGGCGATGTCAGAAGTTATTGACTTGAGCCTTTTACAGCTCAGCATATTAATATGGCTTTACCTTTTTATACTTCACTTTTATACTTTTCTGATGGATGGTTAAGACCAAGATAAAGCAAGACCTATATAACAAGAAATGTAGCTTTTTTATCTGATAAGTCAGTCAAATCCCCTCCAGACTTATCCTGAAACCCTGTACTGCAGTTTGTAGAACCTTTGTCAGTGTCAGCCGAGTGGATGAGTCATGGCCATTGCTTGACCAATTTTCTCTCTGTGAAAGACTGAGAGAATGTTTTCTCTCTATGTGACTCTCCTTAGGCACACTCTACATCATCAATCACTTTCCTCTGTGGCTCCATAATCTCCTTAATCAGAAAATTTGGGGCACAACTGAGTTAAATGATGTTACAGTACAGGTTCTCCTATGTTCTGAGTCTTCACTGACCTAAGGTCTTGCTAAGTTGCTAAGCTGCCCTAGCTGGACTCACACTTGTGATCCCCATGTGTCTGCCTCTCTCAGAGCTAGAATTGCAGGCATGTTTCATCTTCCTCTTGTACATGTCCTCCTAGTGTTTTGGCAAGAACATGTGTGTGCACATGTGATACCCCAATTTGTTCATACATTAAATTCTGTTTTCCTAGTTATTTCTTCTAACTATTTGGCCTTCTGGGCCTGAACATTCCTAGTACTTTTTGTTTCTTTCCTGTTTCAAATAAAAAAGGACAGTTTGGTTGGTGGAGAGGATTGGAGGTCAAACAAATCTAGATTCCAATCCTGGGCCATCTGAGTAGTGTGAGCCTCATTGTTTCAGGAAATGGGACAGCAAAGCACTTTGGAAGAGTCTTCATGAGGAATTAATGTGATAATGTACATAAAAGCATTGAGCATCACCCCTGGCCTAGAATAAATTCTTGTAAAGTGGTGCCATTGTTACGAGCCGCTAGCCACCCTGTGAATTTTTGCTCAATGAGTAAAAGAGAATGTAAGGGTACCACAGCTGATGACCTGAGAATAATCATGCATGGACCCTGAGAATAGAAAACGAGGTGGGAGCAGAAGGAAAGGACACAGGCCACTCCCACGGAGGCCCGCTGAGGACCCAGAATTCATGAAACACTTACTGACAGCCAGCTCTTGTGTCCAATGATGCACTGGGGCAGTTGGTCACCAGATTAGCATATGAATAGTAAAATCCACTGCTACTTTTGCTGTCCTATCTGAGGCCTTGTCACTTCTCACCTGGCTATTGCAATAGTTTCCTCATAGTTCTCTTTATAATACTCCCCCCATGTCCAATAATTACCTTCACCATATGGCATTGCCTTCACCCTCTCTGCTAACATTTCCCTCCTTCCCTCTCTCCTTCTTTCCTTCCCTCTGTTCCTACTTTGCTCCTTCCTCCTCTCTCATAAAAGCTATCTCTGGAACTCCCCATTGTTTTCACATTTCAGTCTGTAGTAAATTTGTAGGTGGTAACTGAGGCTTTGTCCTACCTCTCCGTATCTTTTACTGTCCCTGTGCATACTCTTTGCTCCAGATGGGAAAAGCTTTTGGCCAGACAGTGTACGCAAAAGTATGTGGTTTT